GAGGAGCGGGTGTGGAGGAAAAGAGGAGCCCACTTCCCCGCTGGCTCAGTTTGCGTGGCCTGCGGGCGTCCCCACAGGGGAGCAGTGAGGTGACTGCGGCTTGAGCCCAAAGGAGAGCCCTGGGGGAAGGGTGGACAGGTGTGCGTCGCCAGTCCGCGGAATGCACCTTGCACTTTGGGGAGGACAGCGAGTGAGGAGGTTTGGGGTGAGGGAGACTAGCACCGAACGTGAGAAACACCGCTGCTCCAGATGTTTTCACTCTGAAGGAGAAAACTCCAGCTATAAATTATGACCATTAAAAGTAATGGACTTTGGTTTTCTTACTCTAGCAAGTAGGTGTCTGTTGGGTGAAGTTTTTAGGCTGTATTGGAATCCTCCATATTCAGAAATGAAGATGAAAATTAGATATGTTGTTGGCCTAGACAGCCTTTCCTGGAACCACGCAGGCTCATGACATGATTCCGTTCAGCCTGGTGTGAGGTGCCTTTGACGTTGTTCTGGAACAGTCTGCACGCACTAACGTCTTCTGTGAACCCACTTCCCAGCCCAGCCTCAGATGCAGCCAGCAAGGCGGGTGTCCTTCTCCGTCCGCATCTCTCCACACCTCTTTAAGTCTAAAACCCTCTTCTCTCCTGGCTCTTCTTACTCGAGTGACGAGGAGGAGGAGTTGCCTAGTAAGTAAGCGGCTTCAGTGTCCGTGGCTGTTCTCAGGCTCTGGCCCATGCTGAGAATGCTGCCAGCTTAGCTGAGAAATCGTCTGGAGACTCTAACCCTTGCACGCCGCCGTTTCTAAATCACTTGTCTTCATGCTTCGCTTCGAAAGTTAACCCGGCTGAAACACTGTGGTCTTCTGTACACCACCTGCGCTGGTTGGCCCGGCGGCCTGACTCTAGGGCACGGGGACACGATCCTGTCCCACCACGGACGCGTGGGTATGAGCACTAACTTCATGGAGCTCTCTGTTGGATAATGTAAATTTCATTTTCCCTTGTTTTGCTTTTTTTGACTTATGGGACATCTGATAGCCACCTGTGGTGTTTAAAACGAGTGTTAAACTTTCTCCTTCTCGGCTTTCAGACATGTCTTTAGAAATACCTTTCCCTTGGGACACCTCACTGGCTAGAGCGTGTGAGTTTTGATCTCAGAGTTGTGAGTTCGAGCCCCACGGTGGGATAGAGATTACTTTAAAAAAAAAAAGAAAGAAAGAAAGACCTTTTCTTTGAGGCCACACCCCCATGAATTAGGAGGTGGGAATTATAGATGATTTCCTTCCTTCCTTCTCTCCTTTGGAACTTTTGTTTTTCAATCCTTTTACTACAGTGTGCATTTCAGATTAATATATTCTTCACTGATAATGCCTAGTTTAAGAACTTTATAAGGTATCAGTTTTAGTAAGTTTGGAAAGGAAATGAATTCTCTCCCTTTTCCATGAAAATCGCTGTTTCCGATTATGCAAGATTTCTTGGATTTTTCAGGATTGCTATTTTTAATGGAAAAAATATTTCTATAGTAAAGGTAAATAATGAATTGTTTTCTTTTTTTTTTTTAAGATTTTATTTATTTATTTGACAGAGAGAGATCACAAGTAGGCAGAGAGGCAGGCAGAGAGAGAGAGGAGGAAGCAGACTCCCCGCTGAGCAGAGAGCCCAATGCGGGGCTCGATCCCAGGACCCTGAGATCATGACCTGAGCCGAAGGCAGAGGCTTTAACCCACTGAGCCACCCAGGCGCCCCTGAGTTGTTTTCATTTTATATAACTAATAAGAGTCTCAGGGAATTACAATATTCATATAATTGGACACCCTAATTCTTACCATTGCTGGCCCTACATTTCAGCAGTAAATACGGAAGGTGTCTGTTTATTTAAATATTAAAATTTTATAATTAAGCAATGTTAAGCTCAGAGTGACCTCTCTGCATTGTTCTTACAGAAAAGCACCTTACGTATAGTAACAAAGTTTAATTTCTCTTAATTGGAGGTCTTATTATATTCAGTCCTTTCTTCACAATTAAAAGATGTTTGGTAAAATAGGCACACCATGAGATATTTACTTTATACCGGTTGTAATAGGAAGGAAGTTGTGAGAACCCACTGACAACTTTGAGTGTTCAGAAATTCTCAAGCCTGTTTCAGCTCAAAGTATTTGTGATAGCCCAGGAAATAGGTCCGCATATGGCCACTAAAACAAAGGTCCCAGTGGCATTTCTTTGACCACTAGTACAAAAAAATTTTTTAAGATTTTATTTATTTATTTGACAGAGACACAGAGAGGGAACGCAAGCAGGGGGAGTAGGAGAGGGAGAAGCAGATCTCCCACCGAGCAAGGAACCCAATGTGGGCCTCGATCTCAGGACCCTGGGATCACGACCTGAGCCGAAGGCAGACGCTTAGCGACTGAGCCACCCAGGCGCCCAATACAGCGTTGTTAATATAAAACGGCACTGAGTATACAGTTAACCCAACGTGATGGAATCAAAAGTATGGAAGCCTGAAGAGCCCTTTGAATCAATCAAGCATCTAGCATTCCTCAAAACATGTTCGTTAAACTCAAAAATACCAGTGGGCATTAGGGAGGTGGAGGGGAGAGGAAAAAAAAAGAAAGGATTGGTTCCTGGCCACATAAATTTAGGAAACCAGGTAAGCTGGTTTCAGATGTTAATGTGCACATTGTGAATTTCCAAGGCAGTGTTCAACGAGCTGTGTTTTCCAAACTTCCTAGCTTGGTAACCACAAGGGGTGCCTGACTGTGCACAACACCTCACAAGACTAGTGTTCTGTGGGGCACACTTTGAAAATATTGACTGCGTCCATCTAGTAGTTCTCACCCTGGAATGTTACCATGTATTAGGTTTGCAGGTCACTTCGGGACTTTAAGAAAAAGCTGGTTGAAATACACTGTTGACCTGCCATAATGCTTCACGCCAACATCAGTGACAGACCCTCCCTGCTCCCATCTGTAGTTCTACCATAGAAGTAGTGTTGGTTATGTCATCCTCTTAGGTGCTCTGAAAACTTGATGACACTTTAGGGATCTCAGAGGTATTGGTGGATTAATCACTGTTTTCAGAACCACATCTAAGAGGTCACAGCAAATGAATTAAAATTTTTTCAGCTGTGAAAGGTTGGAAATCCTTGTAAGAGTCAAAGATTGTCCCAGGACTCAATCACATATTTGTTCAGTTTTTAATTTATTTGACAGAAATCTGCTGGGATCTTACTCTTGGCCAGGCTCTTTGCTGGTTGGTATTTTTCCTCATTGTGGATTTTTACTTTTACTTGTTCCTGTTACTAGGGTGGTGACTTTCCAGGTGATTGCTTTAGTGTACAGCAGAGTCCTGGCCATGTGAGAGAATTTAATGCTGCTTCTACCATTCAAGGTTCTTTAGGTGGAAAAGGTTTTAAAGCCACTGATCTAAACCACACTCTTGGGTGTTTGTTTTTTTAACATTTTATTTATTTATTTGACAGAGAGAGCACAAGCAGAGGGAACAGCAGGCAGAGGGAGAGGGAGAAGTAGGCTCCCCACTGAGTAAGGAGCCCAACATGGGGCTTGATCTCAGGACCCTGGGATCATGACCTGAGTCAAAGGCAGATGCTTAACTGCCTGAGCCACTCAGGCACCCTGCACACTCTTGGTTTTCAAGTAAATTAAGGCATCTGAGGGTAAACATCTGACAGTTTCACACCTAGATCATGCAAAAACTCGGGGACAGATCCCAGATCTTAACTCTGTTCACCTTTCGCAGCTGGCTGTTACTGCCGTGCATTGTAAGTGAAATAGAAAAAGAATCCAAATAGGCAAAAGGAAAGACCCCAGAGAGCAGCCTTTTGAAAACTTAGAATTGATTTTTAAGTTTCTTAGGCATTACTCCCACTTGTTGCTGTTTACTGCCATTTTGCGTTTCTACTCAGAATCTAGAGCAGGTTGACACTTAGGAGTTATAAATGGTGATCATGGAACATCTTCAAATCTCTATCAGATTAAAATTTTACTCACAGTAATCTCAGGTGCTTGAAACCCCCCTGAAGGAAGAAGTGTGTGTTCTGTTCACGTTATAACAGCTGTGCTACTTGTGAACAGACTTGGCCTACCAGGAATTATATACACAAATTATTTCTAACCTGATCTCCTAAAAATTGGAAACCAATTGTCAGTGTGTGATTGAGACCTTCTCATCTAGTCCCAAAGTAGCTCAAGCTTGATGCGCGTGTCGTGGATAAAAGAATGTAGTGTTCTTTCTGTTTGCGCCACTTACTGCCCCTCTGTCTGACTAGCCTCAGCTGTGATGACCTGCTTCACTATATGGTCTGGTCGTCGTGGAAGGAGGAAGGATGCGTCTGCCCTATAAATTGTCAGTGTCGGCCTGGCAAGGAACTTACCATGCGTTGTGTGTCCCTCGTCTCACAGATGAGGAAATGAAATCCAGAGATCTCACCCCAAATTAGTGATAAGACCAAGACCTTATAAGCCAGCTCTTCTGCTCTTTTCCTGTTCACGACTCCATTTCCTTCCAGGAATGCTCACCAAAATATCAGATATACATTAGCTAGATTTTTTGGTTTGGAAACATAGGAAAGCAAAATGAACGGAATATGATGTATAATTTTCGATTTTATGTTCTTCCTGTGATGTCATCTCAGAAAAATGGCCTGTGGAAATGGAGCATTGACAAGAGCAGGAACTCAACCTGTCTCATGTGTGTTTGAACATGAGGGAAAAAAAATGTTTTGGGATTTGTTCACTACTAGCTTGAATCCTGGATTAAATTGTTTGTTGTGGAGAGTTTGCTCCTGTGGCCCTCCTGCTTCTAGTTCCAATATTAAGGGATCTGATTTGAATTTTTCCTTCTTCCAAACCCTTGCCTGAAGAAGGCCCCGTGCACCGGCTCTCAGATGCTATGTCTGCTCTGCGTGTCCTCATAAACGTTCTGAACATCTGCTCCGTCACCCAGGCACAGTCCTTTGGTTCCAACGTTCTCTCTCCCGTTTCTGTTTTCCAGATTCACGGTCTTTCCACGGTACCAGCGCCAACCTGACTGAGAGGTAACACACGTTTATTTTGTTACTCCTTTCCCCAAGACAAAGTGAAGGAAACCCAAAGTGTCTTAGGACATTTAACTAAGCCGACCAAGAAGTGAATTCAGCTCTTGGGGTTCTTACTTCCTTGAGTGTGAGCGCACACTCACGCACTTGTATTAGACTCTGTGAACTTTTATACTCTGCTTATAGGAATTGTTCCTCCCTAAGCCTGACGACATTTTCTTTCATTGTGTGTGTGTGTGTGTGTGTGTGTGTGTGTGTGCGTGCGCGTGCGTGCGTGTGTGTACATGCATGTGTGTACATGCATGTGTGTGCACTCTCTTGCCCGTGCAGTATCGCTGCCTTAGCCATTTTAAGCTTTTTATTTTTTCCCAAAAAGTCATTGTCTTCTGCCTTCACGGATATGGTACACAGTTCTCTCCAGGTGAATCTGTTCTTTGCTTGATGGCAGGCAGATTAGTATTTTGACTCACTGATGACTTTTATATTCCTCTTGTCATGCTTAAGGGATTCTGAAGGATTCTGATGTGTGCCTAGTGGGGCTTCTGGTTATTGCCCTGTACTTGAACCTGCTCTCCTTTTCACAGAGGCATAAGCTGTGGCTCTCAGGATGAATGCTTCTCTTTCATTTCTGTCATAGTTTATTTATCCTTTGTCCTCCGGAGCAGGTTCTCACACCGTTTCCCCCTTACCGTAATGTAAGAGGCTGCTTTGTTCTATAAACAGTACTTCACACATAAACAGACATTGGCCGTTGAAGAGGATTGTTGCCCCTCTTGAAGTGCCTCTGTCCTCTCAGACCCTTGAGGTAAACCCAGCTTTTCTGCGGAAAAGTTCTTAAAATAAAACGTTTGTGGAACACCTAAGAAAAGTCGTATAAATGGATTCCTTTCCCGTGTAATGGATTGTGTATACACGTGCCCAGCATTCTTGGAGGAGATCAACCGCCGTGAATTTCCTAAGGTCCAAACGTGTCCATCACAGATAGATTCTTTGCAGCCTTCCCGAGCGCGGGGAGATCAGTAGTACATCTGCATCTGTATGAAACTCCTAAAATGGGTCTTTCTACACTCTCTTCCCTCCGAAAATTGTGCAAACCCCATACTGGTATGCATCAGTATTGATTGTCCAGTGGGCCATAAGACGAAAAAAGTACGTGATTTTTGCTTTTAGGGAACCCGAGTATGCATTCAGTCCTAAAACTTCCTTTGTCTACAGCCTTTATTAACGTATCCATCATTCCATTATTGTACTTACGAGTTTCTTCTCAAGCACTTGTTTGATGCTAAGGTGTTTGTAAATTGAGTGCTATTTTAGACTTAGAAGTTTCAGATAAAATAATAAATGAGTAATTGACAGGTGGGCTGTGCTTCATACCAGGTCACTGAAAATCTATTACTAAAACCTTAGTGGCTGGTACAAGAAAACGGAGCCAGGTTTTGGCACTAGAACGTGGGCATTGTGGTGCGCTCTGCCCTCGGCTCCGACGGACTGGAACCGCTCTGTCCCTCTCTCACTCTGCTTCCCATTCGCATGTGTGTATATATAAGTTGACTCTGACTTGAAGCTAAAATGTTACATGGCTACAGAGAAATGTATTTTTTTAATCTGTGTTTAATTTTTTAAAATTCTGTAGTCTTTTTTTTTTTTAAATCAGTTTCCTTGTTTTTATTTAGCATAACAGAAGAGACCTATAGTTTCCTGCCACAAAGCCCCTCCAAGAAAGATTTTGAAGGGAAGAGTGGAACAAAAGTCAGTCGCACATTCAGCTACATCAAGAATAAAATGTCCAGCAGTAAGAAGAGCAGAGTAAGTACCGTTGGGGGGCTTCTTCGTGTGGCCGCTGTAGTCGCTCACCTGTGGGCTCCTGTCACAGCCTACATACACCCAGAAAGCAATGAAATTATGGGGACATAAGGAAATAAACCCAGAGAGTATCTTTGAAATAGCCTAATATTTGAAGAAATATAACAGCAAGAAAGATAGTAACAAAAGGTGGTATCACTAATTGGGTTTTTACTGTATGCTAAGAGTCTTCCATATGTTATTTTATATCATGCTTTCCACAACCACATAAGGCAGAGATTATCTCCCTTTTCTGGGAGTGAGCTGCTGTATCGGGGTTTGTGCCCCCAGCGGTGGCTTCAGATCTTAAGCACATGCTCTAATTGGTAAACCAGGTTTAAAACGTACCCAAAAGCCGGGGGGCAGCGCCTGGGTGGCTCAGTTGGTTAAGCCTCTGACTCTTGATTTCACCTCAGGTCATGATCTTGAGGTTGCGAGATCGGGCTCCGAACAGCATGGAGTCTGTTGGCCCCTCTCCCTCTCCTCCCCACCCCCCGCCTCGTGTGTGCTCACTTGCTTGCTTGCTCTCAAATAAAGAAATGAATAAATAAAATATTTTAAAATAAATAAATAAAATGTACCTGGAGGATTTGATGCCAAGATCAGGGGATTTTTTGATATATTTAAATATCAGATATAAATATTTATAAAATATATATTATAATATAAATATAGTATAAAAGTAAATCTATAAGTAATATTTATAAATATAAATATTATGTTTGTTTTAGAGGTTAGAGTGTCCCACAGAGAATTACAAGAACTTTAAAAATGAAAGTGGGTTCCTAGGTCTAGTCCCAACTGGATCCGCACATGGCAGTGAACGCTCTTTAGTGAGTGAGGTTATGTTAAAGTACCTCAGCATTTTTTGTCTATTTTTTTCATACTTATAGGAATATTTAAAATGTAAAAATAAGATAAAAACCACCTGTAATAATGCCATATAGAGATAGCTACTCTTCTAATTTTTTTCAATGTATTTTTTTAAAAAAGGAAGACAAGAAGTTACTTTTACTACACTGATTCCCAGTGCAAAACCAAAACCAATTTAGTGTCAGATCAGTGGGAAAAAACTTTCTGTCTCCCGCTTCCCCTGTACTCCATTCACCCACCCACCCAGACTCCAGCAAAATAAATTAAAAAAAAAAAAAAAAAAAAAAAAGCTTTTACATGGAAATCAGCAAAAGAGCTCTTGCCAGGGAATCACTACATATATGCGTGTATACTTGTGCATGGTATGTACATACATAGAAGTAAGAGAATGAACAAACACTGAACTCAAGTGTATTATGGTAAAAGTACACCCCCCCCCCGCCAACAAAATACAACAAGCTTTCTAAGCCCTTCATTAAGTGGGTTGGTAGAAGTAGAGCCAATGCATTTTACAAGATTTTGTAAAATAAGATCTCTTTCTTTTAGTAAATGCTAGGTTCAGGCCTCACAGGAATTTTTCAACAAAACCTGCCACCAGAATTGTGCTTTCATTCCTGCCCAGGTACAGAAGAAGAAGAAGGTGGGCCAGTCAGGAGGAAAACAGGAAAAAATGCAAGGAGTCTAGCAAACTGTTTCTAGAATAATCATATATACAAGTATTAACTTCAGACATATCCTTGTTTTATCATTTAAAAAATCCAGGTTAAAGAGGGCAGAATGTTCATCAGTGTTCCACAGGCTGGCAGCAAGGCTTAAAATAAGAGCCGTATGTGTTTGACTTACCACTGCTGGTTTGGACACTGGTTGGCGTGAACAAAAGAAAACCTCCTTGCCAAGACCAGTATAAATTAGCCGGCTGTTATCACAGGACTTCTGTAGATGGTCTTAGCATTCTGCCAGGTGCTCCTAAAGAACTAAAGATCTTCATCTTTACTTTTGAGAAATTTTATGATCTGTTTGGACATTCTCACATATGTTTGGTGTTTTTGTTATTCTGTTTTTAAAATGTGGGATCTTCAATTGGAAGACCGGTAAATAAATAAGTGGAGAGTTCCCTTTCTGTGCATCTCCCCAGTGACGTCAATTTCCAGTGCAGGGCAGTGACTCCACCACAGGTCACATTAATAAGGGAATACAAACAGGCATAGACAAAACCATGTAAGATCAAATTTAGAAACTGGAACCTGACCTTTTAAAAAGTCTCATCCTCCTTATTTACAAACTGAAGCCCAGAGAACTAGCTTTAGGCCACAGAACTAGGTAATATTAACTAAATAACCTCTTTGTGGGCTGACTTCTAGCAATTAGCACACTTCATTTCATGCTCACTCAAACAAAATCTAACTGTTACTAAACAGTGTCTTTATAACTTTTTCAATAACTCAAAGGACTGGAGCTTGCTAGTAGGGAGTGAGAAAAAGGCAGGAGGAAAGAAGGAAATTGTTAGAGCAGAGTCCGTCAGCCCCGGCCGTCCGTATCAGTTGACCTTTGTGTCCGAGCATCTCCTTTGTCAAAACGACAGCACGGTTTTGCAACGAAACTGGTTCCTCTTTCACATGTGGCTTCAACATTTGGTCTTTGGGGGCTCGTGCTATCTCTGGCAGTGGAAACTCTCAAGAAATTACAAATCTGGGGGCACCTGGGTGGCTCAGTGGGTTAAAAAGCCTCTGCCTTCGGCTCAGGTCCTAGGATCGAGCCCCGAATCGGCCTCTCTGCTCAGCAGGGAGCCTGCTTCCCTCTCTCTCTCTGCCTGCCTCTCTGCCTACTTGTGATCTCTGTCTGTCAAATAAATAAATAAAGTCTTGAAAAAAATACAAATTATTTATTTAAAAAAATTACAAACCTGGGTGGCTCAGTGTTAAGCAGCTGCCTTCAGCTCAAGTCATGACCTCAGGGTCCTGGGATGGAGCCCTGTGTTGGGCTCCGGGCTCAGCGGGGGTCTGCTTCTCCCTCTCCCTCTGCCCCCCAACACTCCCTGCTTGTGCACTCTCTCTCTCTCTTTCAAATAAATAAATTAAAAAAAAAAAATAGAAATCTGTAACCTGGATGGCAATCCTTACTTCACATTATCAGGTGTTCAGGAAAATGCCCCACTGGCCAAACACATCAAGAAGGTTGAGACTCGCCTTTCATGTAGAAGAGCTCGCTTTTGTGAATGTACCAAAAGATAGTAGAAATAGGGGAAATAGTGCCAAGATCCATTAAATACTCTGACTTAATATGCCATAGTGCCTGTGGTAGAGCTTTACCGCACAGAACTGTTTTATTCTCTAAATGATGACAAAAATAAATGAGTATTTTCTTAGTGTGAGGATGCTGACTCAGTTTTTCCTGTAGAGTGTTCTTTCTCCATAATGTTAAAAACAACTGAAAGTGCTACTGTAGACATTAACGCTAGTTTTTTTAATGAAAATGGTAGAATTCTACTAATTTTAAATTATTTTTAAAAGACCTGCTATTAGAGATCATCTGATCTACTTTTATTAACCTATTTGTACAATGTAATCGTTCCTACTTCTTTTAAAGGAAAAATGTAAGCATTTACTGAAGATATATTAAATTGCCACCTATAAATTCTTAGTAAAGTTTTTACGAACGGTTTGGAAAATTTTGCTTTCCTTATAATTAAGCATGATGTATGTATTCATGTAAAAATAGTTTATACTTGTTGCCTTTAGAGTCTCTTAATTATTATGTTAATCTATTATATGTGCTTAAAATTAAAAGTTAATCTGTGTGTCGCAATTCTTAAGTAAGATGGTAAGGAGCCAAAAGGAGCCAAAAAAGTTATTCATATTTTGCCTGTAGTACTGAGATAGACACATATATCTAGATAGATAGGCAGGTAGATAGATGGATATAGGGTTGGAGAAGTTGAGTACTGATCCTTCATATGTGCTTTTAAAAATTAGCAGTATCTGGAATGAGTAATTAAATGTATTCGGTGTTTTTTTCCAAAGGGGTAAAGCCCAAACAGGAAGTCTAACAGGAAGACTGGCAGGTTCTGCTTTTGTCTTTTAGTTAGTGTCTTCTGATAGTACCATTTCCTGTTCAGTACGTTTGCTTGCTACAGAGTACTGAAACGCTGATGTGCACGGTGATCCCATTCACAAAGGGAGTGGGGTGAGCCCCTTCAGACCACCCTGTTACACCGATGTTCTTCCTCAAGCTTCCCTCCTCACAGACAACTAGGAGATGGGCAGAGACGTTCTACAGAAATTCTTACTCTGACTTGAAGTGGGCGTTTTGGGGGCAAGGGCTGCGTTCCTGCAGAGCTGCTGCAGTGGGGCTCTGCTTTCTTGGGCCTGTGCTCCCTAGGGGAGAAGTAAACCCGTGAGCCTAACAGAGGTGCCCGCTAGAGAGTGTTTGCAAAGGCTGAAGTCTGTGTGAATCTGGTTCTCTGGTTCCTTCTCCGATCAGAGGTCTGCAGCACGAGGGTGACTTCACAACGGCTTGCTTCACAGTTGTCAGGAGCGCTCTCTGCTCTTCTCATTGTAACTGTTTGTCAGAGATGGTAGGTGGGGGGACGCGAGAACTCATTTTCCTTCTTAGTACCCCGGTATAGTTACTTCCTGCAGCCGTCCCTGAAATACCAGCAGCCCCTACTTCTTCATGTTGTTGAATGTGGAAAAGTCACACTTGAGAAAACAAGCTGGTCATCACTTGACCGCAGGCGAAATCTACCACCAGGTTCACCGCACACTGTTCTTGGGAAGCACACATTATGATTCGACGTAATGAGAAGCCTTCCGAAGTAGATGTGTTCCTTAACTTCTAAGTGTCCACAATTGGCCGCGGTCCTCCCAGAGTGTCCCATCTTGCAGCCGGAGCACCGTCCGGACACACATTGTGTTTTGGGAATTCGTTTTGTTTCATTTCCCGTGTCCTCTGTAACTAGGGTAGTTGGCTTTGCTGGCAGCATGCAAATAGTTAAGCCCATCTTAAGGAAACCAGCAGCCTCAGCCCTCCCTCCTTCCCTTTCTCAACCAGTCCCTGGCTTCCTCTTACGGTTTCTCTGATGGCAGCTCAAAGCTGCTGAGCTCTGCCCTGCCGGCATGAGCCCCTCCTTCTGTAGCACATTTCCTGGCATGGGGGTCGAGTCATGTCGATAAAATGGGGTCGGGTTCCTGAAGTACCCTTCATAACAGTGAAATACATAGGACATGGAGAGGTAAGAGCCTGCCTTCTTTACAGCACTAAATTCTAATAAACAGAGAAAGAAACGATGGGAGTTTATTGTTTTGTTTTTATTCTTGGAAGAACTAGTTGGGCTAATTGCAAAGGACGAGGGTATTATTTATTATTTATTTGGGTTTGATGAGCATTGGAAGGCTTGAGAGAATGTTAGTTGCCATAGAAGGTTTTTTCCAAGTCTTGGAGCACACTTTAGCTTTCTGAAGCAAAAGAGGCAGATGCTTTTCGGTTTAATGTTTATGTGCAGAGACGCCTGCAGCAAAATTTAGTTAAGAGAGAAATTATTTGAAAAAAATTCCACTTGTTATTGATTGTTATTAGACTATTATGTACTTTAGTGGTTACTGATTGTCACTCAGAACAGTTTCCTGTTATGTAAAGTGAAATACTTTTTCTCCCTCTCTCCTTAATTTTTACAGCTCTAAAGTGTAGCAGTTTGGTTCTTAGATTTTTATTATACTTGTTCTGTTAACCAAGGACTGTGCATGAATCAGACTTCACCAGCACTCGCCAGTTCGGTACAGTGGATGGGCTCTGAATTAGGATGTCGGGAGGCCTGGGTCATGATGTTGACTACCAGTTGTGAGTCAACACACCTCGCCAGCCCCTGGCGGTAGAGTGTCGTGAATGAGAGAGCTGTGCAGTCAGCCAGATCTGGATCTTCTTTCCAGCACGGGCCGTTACTGACGTGTGGCCACAGACACACTATTAAACATCTCAGAGCCTTGGTCTCCTCAGATGTGCTGTGGAGATAATAACCAGTAGTTCACTGGGTTGTTAGGAGAAAATATGTGCAAGTCGCCTGCTGTCGTTCTTGGCACATAACAGCTGTTCAGAATTGTAGTTGATACTTATCTTTATCTTCTCAATCGCACAAGCGTGATGCCCTCCCTGCACACTTCAGAGTTACAGAGACTGAGGCAGTCTTGTACTTAGATGGCGTTGACTCAAAGTGTAAGGCGTTTAGTAGTTGTCATGATCATGAACTTCGTGGCGCCCGTGTTGCAGGAATTGTTTTAGGTGACAACAACGGTATATGTGTATGTCGGGGACAGTTAATACTTCCGGCTAGAGGAAGTCCGAGAGGAATCCCAGAGGAAGGCTTCCTGCCATCCCATCGTCTTCCTTCCCCGAGGCTGCTCCGAGAATGGCTGCAGTCCTTTCTGCCCCCTTCCTGCAGCTGGCCCTCTGCTCGTTGCTGGCTTCCTCCGTGGGCTGCGCTTGGGCTTGCTGAGGAGGGCTCATAGGCCACCGCAGAGTCCCCTCCTCCTGATCCAGAAGCCTCTTCCCAGAGCTGGTCCTGGGATGTTGTGTCCATCATGTGAACGCATCTTCCCATAGCGTTTTCAGTGGAGCCGGAATGCTCACAACCTAGAAAAACCATTGCCCAGGATAGTGCTCTTAACTTTTTTCCAAAGCATTCACCATCACACACCAGTGACCCCATGCACCTGGATGCCCAGGTGAGAGGAGGGCCTCTGGTGTTCCGTTAACTCTTGGTTCTTTTCTTTGGCAGGAAAAGGAGAAAGAGAAAGAGAAGATCAAGGAGAAGGAGAAAGATTTGAAGGAGAAAGAAAAGGATAAGAAGACGGTCAACGGGCACACTTTCAGTTCCATCCCTGTCGTGGGTCCGATCAGCTGTAGCCAGTGCGTGAAGCCTTTCACCAGCAAGGATGCCTACACGTGTGCAGGTAAGCAGCACCCGTCTTCCTGCGAGGCGCGGCGCTCTGGGCTCGGGAAAGCTTATTCCGGGTTTCCCGTCCATCTACCCATGTCCCTTCCTGGTGTGTGTGGGGAAGTCGGCCTGTTAGTCTGTCTGAAACATCCGTGTGTCGTCAGTTCCAAATGTAGAACATGCAGCCGGTGCATTTTTACAGAGAGCCCCAATTTCTTATATTCTGTTCTGTTGCCCCCAAGCCACTGCCTGTCCCAGAGGTCTGTGTCTGTGTCGAAACAGCCCCCAGCCTCAAACTCTAAAGCGACACAGCAGTCCCTCGTCCAGTTCTACGCGCTCAGTTCTTATTCTGGTACTTTGGCAGATGTTTCAGCCCTTTCCCAGCGTCAGGTCACGGTGACTGCCAAGAGAAGACATTTGCGCATGTGCCGAAATGTCCCATGCTGTCCAGGGGCTGACCTCCTTCAAGCCACCTTTAAAGCCAAGTCTATGAACTGAGCCCAGGTCCTGGGTTGGATAAGATACTGCGCAGGGGATGGCTAGCTTTTTTTTTGTCAAAGGCCATGAGCACATATCTTAGACTCCGTGAGCTGGACGGTCCCTGCGCCGCTGCTGACCTCTGCTGTCGTGCAGAAGCGGCCTGGCCAGCACACAGACCAGTGAGCGTGGCTGTGTTCCGGTAAGACTTCACCAGTGGTGAACCTGGAATCATGTGGTTTTCGTGGCATAAAGTACTCATCTTTATTCCCCCCCCGTCCAGCCATTTAAAGATGTAAAAACCATTAGTAGTGTATGGGCCATATAAGAATAGGCTGTGGGATGGATCTGGCCCACAGACCCTGCTCGAAGGCACTGTGTCTCAAAAACGCGGTCATCGGATAGAGAGAAAGTAATATTGGCAGTGCACACCAAGGTAAGTCAGCGAGGCTGCCGTGCCCAGAAGGGACAGTCTGGAGATCCAGCCCCACTCCAGGCCCAGCCCGGTCACCCCGGAGGCCAAGGTGATTATCACCGTGTTCTCCCTATACCCACATCAGACAAAATAGTGACGGATTCAGACGATCAGGACATCATGACCTTGTCTTGTTCTCAGTCATTTGTGCAGAGTATCCAAAGTGATTTGTTACCAAAAATAATTAACTTACTGGAAGTTGAAGTTTTTAAAAGCTTGTTTGAGCAGACTCAAAGCTACTGCAAAAAATGGTTTCCACCCAGTTAAGCTAGTCCGCAACCCAGCTTGTCGCTGCCACAGTTGTCGTGACTTTCTGAATGACTGGCTTTATGATCACATTCTTTCAAGATGACTTTTGTGGATCTATTATATCCCAAATGTTGTCTGTAGCACTGTTTGTTGTACTGTCCTATTAAATAAACCACCAGCTCGTGGGAGGAGCTCTCATTGAGATCTTTGTGTATATCACACACATTTACATCCTTCCTACACGACTCACTAAGAGAAGGAGCATTGCAGCATAGTGCTAAGTTTTATGGGCCCTCTAGAAAACCAGAGGCCACCACTGTCTGCTACCTCCTGCATATTTATTTTGGGGCCCAGGTTCTATGAGGCTCTTCCCTGGGACACCCCACAAATGTCCTCTGGTTAGTTTCTTAGCCACTTGACACAGCTCCTTGGTACCAGAATAACTTGGTTGCCTAGGACAGTCGTCACCAAGCACTTTTTAGTATGTTCATGTATCATTAAAACGTTGTTAGACTACTTGCACAGGGCATGTATATTTGATGCAAGAATTACATGCTTGGCCTGTCCTGTACTTACAAAGAGCTCATTCTAGGGGCTCCTGGGTGGCTCATTCGGTTAAGCATCTGACTCTTTTTTTTTTTTTTTTTAAAGATTTTATTTATTTATTTGACAGAGCGATCACAAGTAGGCAGAGAGGCAGGCAGAGGGAGAGGAGGAAGCAGGCTCCCCGCCGAGCAGAGAGCCCAATGCGGGGCTCGATCCCAGGACTCTGGGACCATGATCTGAGCCGAAGGCAGAGGTTTTAACCCACTGAGCCACCCAGGCACCCCAGCATCTGACTCTTGATTTCAGCTCAGGTTACGATCTCAGGGTTGTGAGATGGAGCCCTGCATTGGCCTCTGTGCTGGAAGTAGAACCCGCTTAAGATTCCCTCCCCCCACCCTGGCCCAATACAGAAAGGGGGGGTGGCAGGAAAGAAAGGAAGGAAGGAGAGGAGAGGAAGAAAGGAAAGAAGGAAAGAAGAGAGAAAAGAAAACTATTATAGGAATAGGAGAATTCAGATTTGCCATTTTTTTGTTTGCTGGTTATTAGTCTTATTAATAATACTGTCTTAGGTCAGTGGTTTCTTTGCAGGAATTTGTAAGCTACTTTCTCATTTTATTCTAGTTGGAACTAATATAATCCATAAGCTTACTGCATTGAACCCCTATACATTTCCATTCATCACAGCATGCTGAAGGGATGAGAATGAGGACAGGTGCCGCTGTCCTAGCCCCTTTCGAGTGCTCTCACCTCTGGAAACCTCTAGCATGTGTAAAGTGAAGCTTCCCAACATAGGGGCTGAGTGAGGCACCAATGTATCGTCTACATCAATTCTATTTCTCTTTAAAGTCAATATAAATGAAAGCTGTAAAACCTTCCTCCCGTATCCCAAAGAACCTTTTGTGTAACCCTCCTGCAAAGTGCCTGTTCTCCATTTGAGGAGCACTAGTCTCAGAGAAAAACGGAAAGACCTCCTGTCTCTTGATTGGACAGTATGAAATTGCTACTCAGAGAACTTCAGTGAAGCAGACTGAACATAGTTTATGTTCTGCTATAAAGTAGAAATATCCAGTGCAATATATTTAAAAAAAAAAAAAAATACATAGCCAAGCCTGCAGAAAGGAAAATCCCTGAAGAAACTCAGAATCAGAGCACTAAAGAGCCTTCCTAGTAGGGAGCAGGATATCCGGCCCCAGGGCACATAGTGGGAGCTGGAGCTCAGACCCCGGATAAAACTGAGAGCTTTAGAGACGGTAACATCTGTGCTGAACGACTTGGAAAAACTCCACCGCCTGGCCCTTCCGAAGCAGCAAGGAAACGTGCCTGCCTTCTCCCAGGACTCTGAGTGAGAATTTTGCACTATCTGTGAACCTGGGGTCCAAATTCACACCATCCATACTCCAAACTAAAGTTTTCACAAGTGGTTGAATGAAATCCCAATCTGAGAACGGTAAACACTAAGGAACCTCCGCTGACACAAACACAGACCAGCCCTGCAGGGTCACACTGACAAGACAGGCTGGCTGGAGGTTCCCACGGGAGGAAAGAGGTCCTGTAAAGCTGAAACTGAGCTTTCAGTTAAACTGCATGGGCGCCTGGGTGACTCGGTCGGTCATCTGAGCATCTGACTCTTGGTTTCAGCTCAGGTCATGATCTTGGGGTCATGGGATCAAGCCCCATGTCAGGCTCTGCGCTGGGCCTGCTTGGGATTGTCTCTCTCCCTCCCTCTCTACCCCTCCCTGCACTCGCACCCACACTTCTCTCTGTCTCTCTCTCTCTCTAATAAATTAAAAAAAAAAAAAGAAAAGAAAGAAAATACACAGACACCACATAAGGAAGTCAACCGCCATGAGGAAGTTAGCAAAGGCACAAACGGGAAAATGTTGAGGCTTATTAAGAGGTTGAAATAAATAGAATTTCTAATGAAAGAACAGAACAGCTAAGGGGTCGATCTGAAAAATGACAATAACATTTCAGGAATAAAAATAGCCCCGGAAGGATCTTCGTGGAGATTTTTCAGACATGTTACTGTTCCACACCATTGCTGGACAGTTGTGATTTCTGTTTACAAAGGAAGAAAACAACTTCCACTCTGTCCCCTGCTTTAGGAAAGGGAGAGCTGGGTGAATGTTCTAGGAACTCTTAGGACTGCAGACTGGCTTTATTTTTGACATTTAACTGTCAATAATTATGTGCTTGCGTTCCTCATCTTAACTGAAATTCTTCCACAAAGACCAGTTGTCTCTGTCAAGCACTGTGTTTGGTACTGTGATCCATTCAGAAGCCCTTGGTGGAGAAATATTTATTGAGCGGCAGTATGTGTCAGGGACCTTTTTTTCTTCCCAGTCGAATATATCTGATACATAACATTTTGTAAATGTGAGGTGTGCAACACACTAATTTGATGTGCTTATATATTTTAATACATTTGCCCCGTAGCCATATTTAGCACCTCGGCTACATGACATGGTTGTCCTTTCTTTTCAGAGGCAGGAATAATGAGATGAGAGGCGCGTTCCTCAAGTTGCTTACACTGTGTTATTTGAGAAGAGTTCTCAAAACTCTTCAAAAACCTTGGTACCTGCTCATTGCAGCATTATATGTAACGCAGAGAAACTTGAACTAAATAAATAGCCATCAATAAAATATTGTATATTGGTTAGATGGAATTTGGAGCTGATACTACAAAGACCAGACCGAGGGTCAGCGAGCTCTTTCTGTAGAGGAGCTGGCAGAAGGGGTCCTGGGCTCTTTGCAGGTCTTTGTTGCGGCAACTTGACTCTGCTCCTGGAGCACACATAGGGGCAGCCCAAGATGAGGCCTGGAAAGTGAACGTGGCTGTGTTCTGTGAAACTCTATTCACACAATGGACGTGGGCTGAATTCAGCCCACAGACCACGGTCTGCCAGCCCCCGGGATAACTCTGCCGACACAAACAGATCTCCAGGACACTCTGATCAAAAGTTGAAAAGGTTAAAAAAAAAAAAAAAAAGTTGAAAAGGCAGCAGGTAGAACTGTACGTATGATCTGAATTTGCAGAAAACAAGTGAACAGTCATTGTTTCTATAAATAAGCAAGAATATTTAGAAGGACATACCCCAAACTAGTATCAGTTTAAAGGAAGAGAGGAGGAGAGATCAGGGAGACTTTTTAGTTTATTCTCCTGTCTTGCTTGAGTCTTTTAAGACTGTGCTTTGTATATAGTTGGTTCAAGCAAAAACGAAGTTCGAGCAAAACCGAAGATCACATTGGATCTGTAATAACTTAAAGAT